ACCTTTTTTCTCTCTCGTGGCCTTCCCACGTCTCTTGCGTCTGTGCCGCTTCTTGCGACTCGTCTCTGAGCCTACCGCTTGCATCTCAAACTCGCTCACACTCTCACTGCACTCGTCAGCTGTTGACGCCGCTCCGTCTAGATGATTTTTGAAAAAACCACCTATTTCACACTCTAGATCGGCGGACAGCTTGACACTCTTAGGAACAGTGCAGCTGCCTTCCCTCAAAATTTCTAGCTCGCATTGCTGGGAGCTGCCTACAACCGCACTGTTCTTCTCACTCTCTGCTTTCGCTGCTTTTCCTGAGCTTTCTCCGGTGTTCTTGACGTCTTCGACCCCATTTGCAAGATCCACCGTTGCGACAAACAGAGTTGAGCACACAGCACCTCGTCGCACTCGCTCTGGCCTTTGTCGGCCTCTCTGCTCAACGCAGCATCATTCGCAGCGCTTAAACTCGATTCGTCTTTGAATCTGTTGCTCTTTTCACACGTGCTAGCCTTCTCTACAACTCTGGGCTGCACCTCTCACTTCTCGTGCGCTACACTTACGGATGACTGAATTTTCCGTCTCATTGCCTCGTTTTTCTGTTCCAATTGTTCGAGCACCAAGGCGCGTGCTCGATCACGCTCTTTTCTATCCCTTTCCTCCATTTCCTGTTTTTCCACAATTTCTACCGCGTTTTTAATATCCTCCTCATTGGCTTTTTGCGAGATCAGCATCCAAATCGCTGTCCTGCTCATTCTTTCCTCTATTTCAATGCCTAGATGCTTACTCACAGCCAAAAGTTCATCTCTTAGCATTGCCTTCCACGACATGATTGCCGTTGTACTTTGGTCCTGCATCTCACACTTAATTAGGGGATCCCTACAACTCAAAACTCACAAACGGTAATCTCCCTAATCCACACACAATCCAGCTTCTAATAAACTCACACACTTGAAGCCTGGAAAGTCAAAGCAAAGACCAAGCACTCACCACAGCACAGCACCATGTCGTGAAGTTCATCCCGCCGCTGCCAACCAGTTGTAAGAGATGGGAAGGAAGAGTCGCTGATGATGTAACCGGGTGGAGGAACTGAACGCCGACAAGAGGATACGAGAAACATAACAGAGGTTTATGACATTATTTACACATATTTACAGAAAGGAACAGGTTAGTGGTTTCACAAACCACGAGCGTGGTGGTTGAACGTTACATAGTTCAGAGCCCGATGTCCAGCACTCTGCCGCGTCGTTTTATGCCCTGTCGAACACCCTCCGAGTCGAACACCAATCACGCACACACAGGTGAGGGAGGCGAGCATGCACGGTCCACGTGAACACTGCACTGTGGTGGCGCCAGCAGGGCTCTTCCTCGTCGTGGGTGTGCCGCTACTCGAGAGTTCCCACGATCCTGGCAGCATACTTCAAAGGGTCCGCCGATTTTGTTCGCTCAATTAGCGGGGTGATTGGCAGTGGCCGTCGGTCTCCTCCAGGAAGATGCTGTCTTTGTTGGCCTCTCTCGAATGGTTAGCGGCGTCTTGGCGACACGACGTCTCGTCCTCCGGCTAGCACGTACAATGCCTGACGAGCATAGGCAGTCGGCCGGTCGGCTTGGTGATTGGGGATCAAAAGAGAGCGCCGCTCCTCTGTCAGCTCCGGCGCCGGCCACGCCAGCCCTCCTGTCGCCCGACGAGTCGACGAGGCCATCAGTCACGCTGCTGCTCGAAGGGACGACCAAAGGGTCCGCACTTGAAGGACGGGACTTGCCTCTGCCCGCCGCCTGGTCTGGATAATCACTCAAATACTTGACAGCGTCCGTCAGACTGGGCGCCGAAGGGATTGAGAGACAAATCCCCAGGCCAAACCTAACACCACGCGCAGAAGAGACTCGCTCAATTCTCGCTCGCCACCAAGGCTTGCCTTCCGCCAGGGGTCACCGCCGGCGCTATCACTCCACCAAAAGTGGTACTCAACGCAAATACAACGCCACCTATCGCCTGGTGGTTGTCACCCGAAATGCAGCCTTGGGGCGAGACACGTGCGCCACACGGCGCAAACAACTTTACAGGAGTGTCAGCACCTTCATAGCGTTTGCTGAATTCGACCATTCGTGTGGAGTGTCCTAGCATGCAGAGGAAACCCACAAGAGGCTTGTTTTAGCCTCAAAATTTAGTGGTACCACTCCTTTAAGAATATTTTATATTTGTATAATACTTAACCAACATTAATAAAACAAGCATTTTGTTCGATACAGTCATAGAATGTATTACATATGTTACATATTTAATTGGAGGCGTCGAGACATGCCTCGACTGCAAATTAGCCCAGCTTGCTTTAAGTCGCTCAAGGCAAGGTCACAGCAGAATTTGTGAGCTCCTAGCTGGCTCTGGCATGGCTAATCTTTTGCCCTCTCATTTGTCTCTTTCCCACCACTTGCTAAACTATGTTATATATTAGTGTGCTTTCTTTCCTTCTCATTATCTTTAATTTGTGTCTGTATCTCTTGGTTATTCTGTTCTCTTTCTCTCTTTACCCATTCTTGTCTGTTTTTTTTTCCTCCTCACGTCCCACCCCATTTCTATACTATGCTATACAAGGCTTTGCTATGCTCTGCTAGCTGCGTGGATAGCCAAGTGGTTACGACACTCAGCTTTGGATTGTCAGGGTGCAGGTTCGAGTTCCACTTCCTCCAATAATTTTTTCACTAAAATTTTTATTTTCTCTTTCTCTCTCTGTATGCGTTCTCTCACCCATCGAAGTTAATGCACATCTTGCTGGAGAAATCAGTGCACATGCTCTGTGAGCAAAGCAAAAGAGAAGAGGAAGGCAATGATGAGGACAAAAAGAGACTATGCCAGTTTGTAATGATAATTCTCTATTTTCGGCACGTAGCTAGGCTCGACTATCACAGCTCTGCTGTAAAAGTTGTGGACTTATACGCTATTCAGAACACATTTTCTAGGAGGCTGCTTGGGTTGCCATGGCTTCCTAAAATGGGTTGCAGGGAGTCCTTAAACCCAGCGACTTGTTCCTCTTTGTGTGGGCTAGGGAGAAAGTTTATTTCACTACACGAAAAGCGAACTGAAGATAACGAGGAGTGAATTCAGCAAGCTTTCGCAAACGCACATGAATATCTACACAAGTGTGTCAAAAACACCTCTAATCGTTTACAAAGAAATCAGTTAGTAATGGTGGTGCTTACATAAAATTTATCAGTGCATAACAATAATCCTCGGCATGTAGAGAAATAAAACTTTCTTGTGTCATTTCATTAAAATTGGCTAAGTATTACAAAAAATATAAATGATGCCTGATAGGCAATTTACTCCCACCCATTCTGTATATGTATGCCATGACTGCTAGTTACATGCAATATTACAAATATGGTCAAACTGTTCACACCAGGTGTTGTAGTTGTCACTAAGACATTATTTAAAGCTTTTGAGATTTGTAAAATATTTATGTCACAATGTATGTCTTTTCTGTTAATTCTTACACCCTAGAAGGAAAAATATTAAAGAGACCCTGAAACACTTTTTTAAGTAACCATGGAATGAATTCACTGGAAGAGCTTATTGCCTCACAAATTCAACGGCACAAAAGTTTTAAGAGTCCATGCAGTACGAGCGTAGTTGCAAAGATTTGTTGCACGCTGCAATCGCATTCTCTCTTTTCTCGTCCCGACAAAAGCACCGGAAGCTAAGCAGGGGGGATGGCACGGGCCAAGAAAATATGTCATGCGCACATCGTGACCTTGAGCACTTTTTTCATTTTTTTTTCTTCAAATAAGCAACTTGATTGCACGCGTAGACAAGTCACGGCCTCCCGCGACGATCTCTGTAAGGATCGAGCACGCCATGTTCAAATCAGCCAATAGCTGATAGATGGCCTTCTACGAGTGATTTTCGAGCATCTTCTTATTTGTCGAGGGAAGAGAAGGCAATCTTTACCTGAATTTGATAGTTTATTTTGAATTTCAGGCCGCGTGTTGCGCTATAACATTTGGATCGCATGTTCTCAGGAGCCTCTACTACCGATCGGCAGCATTTTCTGACCATGCTCAAAAAGTGTTGCAGGGCCCCTCTAAAGCATACAATGTGAAGGTGATGCAACTTGAGTGGCACCAAAGCCTCTTAGGTGGTGCTGTGTAGTTAGCACAATGACATGCTTATCAGGTTACCAGAAATTTCAGCTTCTGTGTTCACATGTCACCTTAAGTATAGTTCGAGGAGGTCAATCACAATTCTGAGCCTTGCCCTTGTTGTAAAACTGCCCAGCATTTCTTGATTGCACTTTTGTTATATTGGTGAAACAGTGTAGAAGGGTTCTCTCTTCCCTTCTAGTCTTCTGTAAGTACACATTTGCTGATTATTATCTCTTATTATTATTCACTTCATCATCAGCCACACCTTAATGCATGCATACAGCCATTGCCTAGATAGTGTTCTACGCCTGAACTGGCATGTATGGTGATGCACTCAAGAAGCCCTTGTATGGTCATTACATGTGATATCACATTATTGTGGGGCTTATGGAACAGCAATTTGTCATTTATTTTCTGCACTTGCTGACAACCCTTCATAGCAACGAAGACAATGTTGAGGCAAGGTGCTGAAATCCTAAAAAATTTTCAAGTCTGATCAGCGAAAATTTAACTTTTGCAACAGCAAAATAGATAGCAGTGAGTTAAATATTAGTTACTTTTCTGCTTTTATGTTTTATACATGGGCAAATGCAGAACAATGACATGTGGAAACTATGCTGGTTGATTTAGTTTGTAGAAACTCCATTCCCATAGCTTCATTACTGCAGATTGCTGTCCGTGAGAAAAGTAATGTTCTTGGTGCTAACCAACATGCACCCCTGGCCTCTAATTAGCTTCTGTAATGAGGCCTGTTTTAGTTACAAAAACTCTAGCAAGTCTCAGACCATTTTTTTTCTAATTGTTGTTCTTATAAAACTCTGCTAAGCTCTCAAACAGTCATCCATCTTCTCCATTGATTGTGCTTACTGGTGAAGTTTCAGATGATGAACCTTCTGATGGCAAGATAATGTTTAAAAAGCCAACAAAAAGGAAAGATTCCACCTCTCCAACAGACCGGCAAGCCAAGAGACTCAAGGAGGTTGACAAGAGCCGCCGCCAGCAAGCAAATTCAGTCAGAGACAGCCGCCTTCTGTCTTTTGGTGACGATGACGACGTGTGCTAATGATGCACACAGATATACGCTGGCACTCCTTGCATTCGGCCAGCATTTTTGGTTTACTAATCAGTGTAATCATGAAGGTTTGTCATAGACACAAAGGACTTTAGCTGCTGCCTGCTGTTTATGGGACGTGTGTGTTGAATGTGCGTCGTGAATGTGCAGGGCACCGCTCTGTCATCCCTTGACACAATTGAAGGGAGGACATGCACACGTGGTTTCAGTCACTTAAGGCCTTTCAATGGTTGCAACATTTGTTGTACCCAACGTCTACAGATACGATGCACCAATGCAGGGGTGAGTACAGCTATATTTTCCGACAAGGTGGTCAGCAAGCATGACATAATGATGACAGTAGAATCTTTCAATGCCATCTGCAATGAAATTTTTAACTATTAAATGCCCAGTTTAAGATGGTGTACCACCCCTAGATGGACATTCCTGCCTGCAGTGCTATGAAAAGCTTTCAAAAATGGGCATTTTCAGTACAGAATAATTAAAGTATGCTGCCATTACTACCTGCCATAAGCAATGTACAAGTTGAAATGCACAGCTTGGCCTGGCCTTCAAGACTAAGCAGCTCTTATGGCAGCCATGGCATGCTAAAAAGCCCTGCTGATACTTGTGGCAGAGTGATGCAAACTAGGTACACAAGTCTGCTTACAAGCAAACAACCATTACAAGCCCCATAACTTTGCCAGGACTGCTTCAGCAGTGTACATATACTTCTCTCTTTTTAAAGGAGTACTGACACAAAATTTTAAAGGCAAGATAACTTGTAAGATAGATTTGAATAAACGTGTGCATCACCTACAAAATATCAATGAATAATGTAGCCTAGAACGTATTTAAAATAAATTCTAAAGCGTCTTGCACCGCTGCACGTGAAACGCGCGCTTGGTTTTCATGTACAACCTACCGCCCCCTGCATCACGAGTTTTTGTTTGTTGTAATGATCATTGACAATGCTCTTTCTTATGGAAAGAGGGGGCAGACCGTGTCAATGTATCGCTCCTTTGCACGGGAGTACAAAGGCTGATGTCTTTTTCTCAGCAGTGCAATCTGGGTGGGGGGTCCATTTACAGCGCCTGTGAGTGTATTATAGGACCGCACACAAAGCCTTCGTGGAGAATAGTCAAAGGGGTGGCTATGTGCACATGGTTTTATGTGCCCGCATAGCCACCTATGCTTACACGAAAACCACTCTTAGAATTACAGTACTCAGTCACCGTTTCAAAGAGCGCAAAGTGAAGCGGAACTCTAACAGTGGTTTTCGTGTAAGCATAAGTGGCTATGTGGGCACGGGAAGCCACGTGCACGTGGTTTGATGTACCCACATAGCCACCTATACGCACGTTAGGGTTCCGCTTCTTTCTGCGCTCTCTGAAACTGTGACCGAGTGCTGTAAAACCGTCTCCAAGTAATCAACTGGCGTGTGCTTGAGCAAATGAGCTTTACAGTCGTGATAAGTGGGTCATTCATGTTACCTTCTGTTGCATTTTGGTCTTTAATTTTACAAAAATGCACACGTAATTGCAACAACCTGCATATAGTGTTCTAAATCAGGAAAAGAATGCTGTTTATATTTCCCTTTGGATGCAAACGGATCGTGTGTACATCCAGAACCAAGTCAATTATTGTGAACGTCCAGTGATGCAGCTGTGCACTATCATATAACAATCAAAAATAGCTCTCATTTATCACTATTGGTGTTTCAGCGTGATGCTGCGTATTGTGGTGTTACCAGTTACATTAATTGCAAGTTTCATTAATTACAGGTTGTTTTATTTATTGCAGAGATGAAATGTGCCTTTGGACTCCTGTGCCATGCTGTACAGTAAAGAGAAACCTTAAGCAAGCTTCTGGCTGGCTATTCAGTAGTTTTTTTTTTCTCATTAAAATCAAAAATTCTTATTGGAATTTTCTGCACACCTACCGACAATAATACTACTCAATAATGTATCTGCCATATTTATACTTCACCTTCTAGTCTGTGAAAGTAAACTCCACAGTAAGTTTAAATACTACTTTTGTCAATTTGGTCACCCTTCTAATTTTTTCTCCCGCTGCATTTTTATTACTTTGCAAATGCACCTATAATGTCCATGGCACAATGGCCGTAATGTAATCCCAATGAAAGATTATTTTATTCTATGCAACATTAAAAAATGCTGCCTTTTGTAATAATTCCTCATGGCCAGAAGTAATGTCAATTTAAACAAAAATTTATTTTCAGTGGCATGAAAAATTGGCACTGTTAAATTAAATGAAAATATTTCATTCACGTGGTGGCTGTCATGCTGTTGACAGTAGATTGATAGAGGTAGGAGCTATTGCCTTGGCCATGCCTCGATTTTAATACCATAGGGCACCCTTGTCACAATAGTGACAGATGCACAGGCTGCTTGCCATGCGGTCATGGATAGACTTGTGGCCCCACACTCACAAAGAATCCTCTTTTATGTTTTCCCCTCTGCTTTAGGAACGGTGCTCATAGTCTAGACTCTTGGACCGTCCTCTCACCATTGTAATGAGCACGTTCATGTGGTGGCCCAGGGTTTGACCAGCCGGGCATCATCAGAAGAGGTGTCCTATACAGACACTCAACTGACAGAAACATTCATCTACACTACAACACCCGAGTTCCACCAACAAGGCCTTCATATTCATCCCTTTCCCCACTCTTCACTTAAAGGCAAATACAGTTACCTGGCAGCAATGGCAGATCAATTCCTTCCCTTATTTATACATGCTTGATCTCTTTCATCTAATCCTATACCGTAGAGCACAGGAGGAATGAAGCCCCACCTTAAAAGCATAGTCAAAGCACAGAGCGCAAGTTCCCCACGTCTCTGGATCCCCTAAAGGCACCCTAATGTTGTGGGTGCCCCACCTTCCAGGCAAAAAAAGAAAAAAAAGGGCCTGGCACTGCCGCAGTTCCTACTGTGGGTCTACTTCTGTGTTTTTATCACTCCACGTGTGAATGCTCTAATTCATGGAGCGTTCTCTTCTTTCTTACCCTGCCACTGCTTCCTCTGTCGTCTGCACTGCTCAGCTCAAGCAGGCAGGAATATTAGCAGCTGGTCCAGCAAGCTTGCAGAGTCCCGTTAGGCAATGGAGCCCCCAAGATGAGGATCACATTCAATAAAGACTTGTCCTTATTTTGATAATAAAAGTTTCCTCACTCTCACAGTAATTATTGAAGCAAAAATATTGTTATTTTATGCTTTAATCTGTTTCATTTCTGTGCGAAATGTTTGAAACACCCTCCTGGCATCACAATTTTTTAACACACACACATATATAATATGTATGTGTGTATCTTTTATCTTTATACATGTGCTCTCAGCTGAATTTGAATTGAGGTTTGTAAAAAAATCCTGTGACCGCTGGAAAAAAAAAATTGGCAGATCCCACATACAGTGGGAATTGATATGCGAAGCACGTATGAGAAAGGTCGAATTATCACATTAAAATTATCATGTTTGGACGCGTCATTTACTTTCATCTATTCACATCACATAATACCAAACTTGGTAGCTGTGAAGCTAGTGAAATGGCCACGAGCGCATAATGAACGTATGTTGTCATGTTCTTACCAGACACGCATGTCATAATAATCATGTTTGCACCAGTCATATACCATCACCATCCACTCGCGTCACACAATACCAACATTGATATATGTGAAGCTTGCGAAATAACCACGAGTGCACTATGAGCGTAGCATGTTAGGATGTGTCGCTTACCTTCGTCGTTCGTTCGCATCATATAATACCAAATTTGGTATAAGTGAAGCTAGTTAAACGACCATGAGCACATCATGATCGTGGCTTATGTTTTGACATGACACCCATGTCATGATTATCATGTTTGCACCAGTCATATCCCTTCCTCATTCATTCACGTTACGTACTACCAAATTTGGTATATGTGAAGATAGCGAAATTGCCGCGAGCGCATCATGAGCGTGGCATGTAGTCATGTTCTTACATGACAGGCATGTCATGATTTCCACGCAAGCCCAGCCGCGGTGGTCTAGTGGCTAAGGTACTCGGCTGCTGACCCGCAGGTCGCGAGTTCGAATCCCGGCTGCGGCGGCTGCATTTCCGATGGAGGCGGAAATGTTGTAGGGCCGTGTACTCAGATTTGGGTGCACGTTAAAGAACCCCAGGTGGTCAAAATTTCCGGAGCCCTCCACTACGGCGTCTCTCATAATCATATGGTGGTTTTGGGACGTTAAACCCCACAAATCTAATGATTTCCACGCAAAGGCCTGCCACTCATGTTTGCCATGCAGTCGTGTAATATTATACCAGTTTTGAAACACGTCATGTAAACGAAACCACCGCAGGTGCAGCAAGACCATGACATGTAAATCATGACATCCATGACATGTCCTGATTTTCATGTTATGACTAATCACAAATACTCGTCACACTGTCATGTTAAGCCTTACCGATTTCAGTATAGATCCCAATATCCGAACGGCCAGGCGAGCTAAAAGTCATAGGCGGCTAGATAGATAGACAGATATGGCCAAAGTCGCCGAAGTGTGCTAAGAAATGCTTCGTATTTAAAATAGCACCAAATTCATTTTAGCGGCAGCTGTGTGTACCGTAAAACAGCAAACAAGCCCCCACCCCACCCCCCCACCCCTTTTCGATAGAGCTGAAATGCCTAATAAGTGCGAATGACCAGTCCAGGACCAAGTCAGCACCCAGGTCAGATTATTTTTCGACGTAAGGGGGCACTTGCTCAGCATTTTACGGTAATTACAATGGTTATATTTTTTCATCACTCACATGTTCATTGATAAATATTTCAACTAGTGTTCAAATAACTAACATGTTTAATAATCCCACGCCTTGCCTCAGTGATCTAGTGGCCAAAGTGCTCAGCTGCTCACCCACAAGTCGTGAAAATCAATCCTGGCTGCTGCGGCTGCATTTTCGATGGGGGCGAAAATGCTGTAGGCCCATGTGCTCGGATTTCCGGAGTCCTTCACTACGGCGTCTCTCATAATCATATGGTGGTTTTGGGACGTTAAAGCCCACATATCAATCAAATAATAATCACTGAAACTTTGTGTTCCACAACCACAATATGATTGTGAAAAGAAGAAAATTCGTGAACACAGGGTGTCACTGGAGGAGATGTTTTGACAAGAGCTCTTGTCTTCTTGAAGGCTACAACTGCTTGAAGAATACAAATCTGCTTGTCACAATGTCTGCTCCAGCAACACCTTGTGTTCACAAATTTTTTACCTCTTCAAGCTTCAACCATTCCATAAACTTCGTGCTTTTTTTTTTTTTTTTTGAGACGTTTGCGTGGGGCATTGGAGCCATTTCAACCACTCGGGGTTCCGAACACACGGATTGCGAAGACGTCACTTAAGTTCCAGAGGTTCGGGGCTATGTTGTGTTGTACTCCTTAACCACCCTCCTAGCAGTGCCATCGATGCATTTTCAGGCTGCTTTCATACTCTTAACTGATTATGATGAGGTGCCTTACTGTTTATAGTGAGTGAATGTATCTATGACAGCCTGGCAGCAGTAAAAAAAAAAGCAAAGAAATCACCCCCCCCCCCCCCCCTTATGGGGAACAGCTCACTTTGTGCATTTTTCTGACCTCCTACTTCGCTTCCTCAGAGTTTACTCGCCCATCTTTCAAGACATTGCATTACATGATTTATAGCTGCCCAGTCAACCTCCCTATCATCATCAATGCAACATACACAGGAATGCCTTTTACAATGGTATTAAATTTTCTTAAGTTGTGCCATAAAGTGCTGCATAGTTTCGCTGACACCGCCATATACACTGCATATGTCATTTAGCAGCCCACTATCTATCATAAAATAACACTCCAGTGTGTGCATCACGCCTGCTCATGTGTTTAAGTACAAGCAGCCGAAGGCTGTTGTCTTAGATTGAAACCATCCCGATTGTTAGCTTGTCGCCTTATGAACCTCTGGTGGCTTACAGAGTAACTCCATATTCACAGAGATGGCAGTGCTATCAAGGTGCATTGCAGTGAACTATAGTGTCACAAGCACTAATGAGCACAGACAAGTGCCGCTGCAGTCAAGAAATCCAGCCAGCAAGATTGGCTTCCGACATTATTCAGTGACAGATGGCAGAGATCAATGGCACTACTGTGACATGCAGACATCACTCTATGTGGGATTACTAGTGCGATTTCATTCAGTTCGAAACTTTTTAAGAAACTCTTGTAGTCTCATGCTTGAAGCTTTGTGCTGTGAACAAGTAAGTTGTGCAAGAGTAGATTCCAGAGTTCATTGGCGTAGAAGTTATAGGGTTGTTTGATTGTTCTGTAGGGTTTAACGTCCCAAAACCACCATACAATTATGAGAGACGCCGTAGTGGAGGGCTCCCGAAATTTCGACCACCTGGGGTTCTTTAACCTGCACCAAAATGAGAGCACAAGAGCCTACAACATTTCCGCCTCGATTGAAAATGCAGCCGCCGCAGCCGGGATTCCAACCCGCGACCTGCAGGTCGGCAGCAGAGTACCTTAGCCACTAGACCACCGCGGCAGGGCAGAAGTTATAGGGTCAATTCTTTAAAAGTCTATAAACAGTCTTTATGTACCTTTTATGGCTCCCAAAAAATTTTGGCAGCAGACTTCAACATCTTGGAGCACAATAAATTTTACATATTATCAAACCTTTTAGTCCTGAATTTAGAATATTTTATCTTTTGGTTTTCTTTGCTATCATCTAATTAATAGTTACCTATAATATTTACAAAAGGGAACTTTGGCACTGCAATTATTCTTCCATTGTGGGTATGATGAGTAACACATTGATTTGCCTGTTCATTATGCTTGTGGCTTGGTCTACTGTTGTGTTTTGGTGTTTGTTTCAAATAAAAGAATGACTCGTGAACATTGTGAGCTGATATGAATTCGCAAGCCTCAATCCATACAGTTAGCCTAAGTATTCATATTTACTGTACACAATCTTGCTACTGGGGACCCCCTGCCAATCAGTTAAGCAATCC